TTTGTCAAAATTTTCGCGTGCCATTTTCTAGTTTGAGAACGATGTGAATATGCTTTGTAAAATTCAAGGTTTTTTTTTGAAATAGACCTCCTTCGATCGAAAAAGTTGAAATGAATATAAGATCATCGTCACTGCTGCATCCTTAATCCTAGGTTCGTGATATTTATTTAGAAGACCATGTTATAAACTTCAAATTTCTGATCTCTAAAAATTATTTTGGATTTTAACTTAATAATACAATAGAAAAACATCGTACGAGATATCTTTAAAAACTATTTATGATTATTTTCGTTATCAGTCATTTTATTTTCACTCCATTGTAAACACATCATCGAATTTATTTAGTCTATTACACACAATAATCAGTATCTGGATGAGGGCGAATGTGTATCTAAACAGCATTCATGCTTGAGACCAATTTCTTCATTTAATAAATAGTAAATTATTCATTTTTTTATTGCTAGTATCAAAAACACGTCGATTTCTTTTGCTGTAACAGTACAATTCAGAATGTGACCAATGAAATCTAAGACATGAAAAAAAACGTGAATCCTACAGAGCTCTAGTATTGTGTCACCTGTGTAGTACAATTCGTTGCATAGCATATGCGTTCAAAAAGTGTCCTGAAGCAAAATTAAAAGTAAAAAAAGATTCTCGTTCACACCGACACTCGTGACGAATAATCTGCTCGCGCTACTAATCTAGCTTAAATGCTTTCCTTTACGATCTACATTACTTGTAACTCTGCATTTTCGCTTCTTATTAATCTATTCAAATTGAAAAATGTATTAAAACTACAGTTTTATACTTTAATGTTTTTTGAAAATTTGAACTATTCAAAAGTCAACAATGTCAAAGAAAAATAAATTTTTGTTTTAATTGTATTATATTTTCAATATATATTTATCTCAATAAATTGATATTGTTGCTGTATAATTCATTTTACAAATTAAACGTTATATAAATGTACAAAGATGTTCATTGAATTTATTATCATAATTTGTTTTGGTTGTTGATAATATTTGTTAAATGAATGGTAAATATTTTAGTAATAATTGTTTATTTAATATTTGTTCATCAAGTGTTAACATCATTTCAATACGATGACAAACAATTAATTCAGTTAAACATAATATAAATATAAATATAATAATGCAAGAAATTGTTTAATTAATAAAACTAATAAAAGACCACTTTCATCTAAATCTATTCCTTTAAGTCTACGAACAATTTTTAATGATAATAAGAATTTTATTTTGTTTTAATAAATAATATCAATATTGTATATAGTGATTCAACAAATAAATGACTTGCAACAGATGTGCGATATATAAGACCAAATAAATTATATACATTATGTACATCTATCACTTTGTTCAAATAAAAAAAAGAAAGCAACAATTGAGGATGTGTTATTAGTGATGTTAAATATTCAACATATAATTCATGACGACGTATTAAATCACAATAAGATTGTAATTGACCACTTATGGATAAATGTGTTATTAATGATGATGGTGTTAATATTGATGACCACCAAGTTTCTTGTGTATAATCAAGTATATTAAGAATATGTGTCCATTCTTATAATAATGGCATAAAAAATGATGATAGTAATTTAAAATATTCACTTAACAATAGTTAAATATGAAAATGTATCAAGACGATATAGTATTTCATCATAGATTAATAATTGATGAAAATCATTTATAATTGTCCGAAATTGTTTAGCTAAAAAAAATCATAGATTTTATAAATGCATGGAAATTTTAAAGTTAAATGGTTTTGGTTAGCTGATTAGTCATTGATGCATTGAAGGAAAATTTATAGAAAAATTGTACCTTCTAATTAATGGATGATACGATACTATCATAGAGAATAAATTTAATGATTGGCCAAAGAAAAAGACAATTATGAGAGAAGTTCTCCAACTGATTGATTTTGCATAAAGATAGGTCATAGCGAGAATAGTTAATTGTGAAAGGTTCAAATCTTTTGACTTGAGAGCAAGAGAGAAGAAGCTGATTTCTTTGATTACTATTACTAGAAAGCCGTTTTTATCTATTCAGACAGTTTTTTCTCCCTTATTTAAGACAACTTGTCTTTCTACAAAGTTTCAAGTCGAAATTTTCAAAATCAATCATTCTAATGTTCCTTACAAAAATGACGGCTTGAACTAAATGATGCTATATAGTCGCAGCATCTCCACAGCACTAAGGTAGGTGTTCGAAAGCCTTTGCATGTTATTCGCAGCTCATTAGAGTCTACGTGATGTCTCTATAGTTTATTTTCTGTGTAACTCTCATATTCATGTCTACAAGTGCACTGCTAGTTTGATCCGTTACCATTTTGTATAATATGCATAAGTAGATAAAGAAAATCGAATGCAAGATAAACTGATGTCATATCGATTTCACCGCGTTAATATCGAGTATTAGCTAAAATTCGTAATACTACATCATGTAAAATATGAAGAAGAGTTCGAAAAACAAAAAAAAAGAATGAGAATAATAGTTATTAGGATGTGGGTGTGGGTGGGTGTAGGTGTGGGGTTGGGTGTGGATATGGGTGTGGTGGTGTGGGTGTGTGAGTGTGGGTGTGGGTGTCGGTGTGGGTGTGGGTGCGTATGGGTGTAGGCGCAGGTGTGGGTGTAGGTGCGGGTGTGGATGTGGATGCGGTTGTATGTCTACTCTGGTCTTAGATCCACACCAACACCCACAACCACATCCACACCCACAACCACACCAACACCCACAACCACATCCATACCCACATCCACACCCACACCCACACCCTCATGCATTCCAAGTTGAACCTGACCTTGCTTGCAAACGAGGCAAAACTGAAGTTTTGTTAATTATTCTTTTATTACAAACAAACAAAATATTATGCATTTTCGTCTAAAATACAGTAGTATCATTCTTTACACTGGAGGAAACAGAACCCTCTTGTTGTATCTTACTCCGTTTTAAAAGTTTTCATATTGATGTTGAAGCTTTGTTTCATACACC